CACTCTTAGCATTTGCGTGCTGGGTTCACTGAGACCCATGGCTCATGCCAGCAATTTCTTCACTGACTTTTGGTATCAGGTTTGGTGTAGAGCATTGGATGCTGGTCTAGCAGACTGAACTGAGACATACACAGCTATTCTGCATGTGTCTCGAGCTGAAAGGTCAAGTTCTTGAGCCACCAGAAATTTTAGTAAGAATAGGGCTGGGCATCATTTGACCCACCAGTGGCAGGGGAACTTAATTGGTTAACACTTGACTTTAGTTTTTGGAGGGTCTTCTGATGCTTTGCAAGGCATTCCAAATTTACTATACAGTAGAAGATAATATAGAGAAGTAACTATTGATAAACAACTCATTGCGATGTATTCTAGAGTAAATTTATGTATAATGGCTTATGTATATACATTGGATAGAACAATAAATTGACTTTTGAGGTACAGATAAGTCTTCTTCAGATAGCCAACACTGAAACTGGATTTTTATATATGCATGGGCAGAGGGAACATTGTGATCAGTGATTCAGGAAAGTACCTCCCACAAAGGACATTTTGACTGAAAGCTATGGTGAAGCCAACTAAAAAAAGACAAAGAAAGGCTGAGGATATTTTTATTTGCATGTCAGGAAAGTCCAGCAGTTGGACAGGCTGCACACTGGTTCAGGTATGACACTGGCTCATTTCCTTTGTGGTTCTCTTAAAACTACTTTCCTGTGATTTTTGGTTTTGTCCCTACTTTAGGGGAGAACAATGGTAACTAGGGCTATTTTATATTCCATCATATAAAAGATAATTGCTTCTTGCACTATAGTACAAAAATGAATATAAATGTTTCAAGAACATTAAAATTTAGAGTAACATCTGTACCACCACTGGCTATATACTCAGAAGATACTAAGTGAACATATCACAGAGATACTTGCCATTCATGTTTATGGGACACTATAAACAACAGCTAAATTACAGGATCAGCCTCAGGGTCTGACTGGATAAAGAGAATATGGTACATATGGATAATAGAGCTTTATTCAGCCATGAAGAATAAAATTATTTTGTTTTCTAGAAATGGACTACTATATTTGTTGTCATCATATTAAGTGAAATGAGCCAGACAAATATTGCATGTGTTTTTCTAATTCATTTTAGATCCTATAGATTATGTAGCTACACAATACCATATCTATAACATAAAAGCATAAGGGAGACTGCTGCCAGGACAAAGATGAGAGGGAGAACAAGAGACAGAGGGCAGGAGGGAAGACAAACTAAGGGATATGGAGAAATGGGTATAATCAGAGTACTTTATATACTTGAAAGAACGTGTCCTTACTAAACCCATCATGATACTATTGTACAATGAATATATACTAACAAAACAAAAAATTAAGGTCAGCTTATTTAAGGCATGGAGATCCCCCAAAGTTTGTTAAAAAGCAGTTGAATAGTTGAAATAGCTTGAAAGGTATCTGGATATTTACTTATATTTAGTATTTATTTTTAGGCAGTGCCTCTTCCTTATACCTCTTACAGTATCTATTTTGATCTAGAAATAAGATACTTTTGGACTTCTAGAATAATACTAATATTTCAATATCCCAAAGGACATTCTGTCCTTGGAAGACACTCTTCTGAGCCTACAACTTCAGTTTGCCTACAGCTAATTATGCAGAACAGGTTAAGAAAACACTATCTGGAGTTTCCTGCAACTGGCTCTCACTGTGGTGTCACTTCTTGGGTATCCTGGGAAATGATTTAATCACTTAGAGCTTTAGTTTCTTTAAGAAACAGAAACAATATTAGGACTTGCCCCATAATGGCCAGAGATTACATGAAATAATATATGTAATGCATATACAAAAGTGCCCGGTACTTTTTGGTTCATTGTACCCTCATTGACTCAGTAATTTTCTTTATGGCATGCCTAAGTGAAAAGAACTATGTTACATTTGTACTTACTGAGCAATTAGGTATAAAAATGGCAATAGTACTATTTTATGAGCTGTATGTTTCCCTCAAAAATTCAAAATATCTTACAATAAACTATGCGTTGTCGATATAATCCTGGGGTCTGTTGCTGACCAGTTTAGGAATAAAACATCACTGAGGACACATTTCTCATTAACTACAGGCTGGTTTTTATTGAGATATGTCTATTATCATCATTAGAGTAGGTTCATTGGAAGAGTAGTTTCTACATGTACAGTCAAGACAGTGTCATACCTACTGTAGTGTCATTTTTCTAGGTTTACTCCCCCCCCACTCTACTGTCACTCGTTGATTACATATCATTTTTAAAAATAGATTTCATGTGCTAGATAGACATTCTTTTGCCAGGTCTGTAATTCCAGCCACTTGGGAGGCTGAGGCAGGAGGATCACATTTATATTTAGTATGTATTATATTCAATTTATATATTCAATATTGTACTTCGACCCTGTTTTAAAACAAAAAGTTAAAAGAGGACTAGAGATAGATCTCAGGGGTAAAGTGTTTTCCTGGTGTCTATGGGGTTATGGGTTCAGTCCTCAGTACTGCAAAACAAAACCAAGAATGCAAGGTTTTCTTCAGTCTCTTATAGGCCTTTCTATCATCTTCCTTCTCTTTCCCCCTCTTCCATTCTCCTTGCCCTCCTTCTTACCCAGTATCCAAATCCTGGCTCTTACCCAGGCTCTCCTCACAGTGAGAAGAGACTGGCTACCTAATTCAGGAAGAATGATTGGTCCGACTTTTGATTCTTCATTTGGCCTGTGAGCTAGCCAGAATATGGGGTGCTGTTAGCTCATTCCTGTATACATCCTTCCTTCCCGTAAGAACCAGGAGCAATCAGTTCAAACTGAGGCTACAGAAGGTGACCTGAGAAGTTGAAGAGAGTAAATCTTTGAAGTTGAAGTTGGTAGAAGATTTCTGAGTTTTTCCTAGAGGCTAGAGCTGCCTTCAGTTCTATTTGCATTTTCAGATTCACTGAAGGGAAATCTGATGTTGGAGTAATTAAAGAGGAATGAAATAGAAGACCTGTGCGTGCACTGTTGACTCCGGGCCTCCATGGTGCTGGCCGGCAGAGGTCGGGAGCGGCTGGCTGGCTGTTAGCCCCAGCCTGCAGCGTTTGCTTTGGCCATTGGGGGAAAGAGCTCTTTGTGGAAAGCCAGCCTTCCCAGCCAAGCGCCTATTTTGGTCCTGAATCTGTTGAGTCCAGCCTGAAGGTTGGCTCCAGGATCAACAGAGGCCATGGAAAATGGGACTGGATGCTTGGCAGACATCACTGTGGGCTTTGTCTTCCTGACCAGGTTAGTTAGTCCTGAGCTCATGAAGTCAGGCACAATGGGGAGCTAAGGACCTTGTAGTATCAGTACCAGAAAGAACTTGCTTGTTTGCATGGTCACTGTATCTCAGACTGGGCCTGACTTCTTTCCCATACATCCAGTCTAGTAAGGTGGGTGTGGAGGAAGGGCTGACAGAGTCTCCAAAATCCATGAGGTCTCTTAAACGAAAGACCACCAAACTATAGAGTTGCTTATCTTCCCTAACTAAAAAGGCAAGCCTCGTGAGATTCAGCATTTGTTGTCTAAGAACCCAGGCAGTGCATGTTACAGTTTCGAGAACTGAACTGGTTTCTATGTGCTTATTCAACTCTTCCTTGGTGACAGGGAAGCAGCCCTGCCCTGCGAGAGAGAGAGACAGAGAGAGAGAGAGAGAGAGAGAGAGAGAGAGAGAGAGAGAGAGAGAGAGAGAGAGAGAGAGAGAGAGAGAGAGAGTAGGATCATGCCACACTTCCTTTGCTTTGAAATGTCAAAAACCATTCTTACCTTGTGTTTTGCGTGAAAATGGTGGTAGGTTAGATATGGCCGGTGAATCCTAGTTTGCCTTTAGCAACCGCTGCTCTAGAAAATAGAACACAGACAATGGAACCAAAATGGGGAGGCTTGGCTTGACAGAAAAAAAGGATAACCAGAGTAATAGGAAAATGGGACAAGTTTCCCAGGAAGTTACAACAGTTACCTTTAAAAAAGATATAAAAGATGTTCAAGAGGTATTGGTTAGGAATGTCATAGGAAGATTCAAAGGTCTGACCATGGATTGGTTTTGATTCTTTAAAGCCTGAAGGATGGTTACTGTGTAAGGATGTTTCCATTTCTGCATATCTGTTATTTTCCATGCACTCACCATCTACATTTAAGTTTGCTAAATCATTTTATACGGTCTATTCCTCCTTGACTAACATTTGTTGATAATTGCCTCAATTTGCTCCTCATTTTTCATACATCTTATTTTCCTTTCAGAAACTAAGGGGTTAATGTCAAAAGGGCAAGGTTCGCTGGGCAGCTGCCACACTGTTGCCTAGCAACCCTCAGGGGCACCTCAGAATTTCTGCAGAAGCTTTTGTGAAAAGATGGTCTGATCCAACCATCAGGGTGGAGTAAAGAGGAAAGGAGATAATGTATGTCGAACACATTATAAATCATGAACCAGGATTTGACTCTGTCTCCCAGAATATTGAATATTCTTTTATGTCACTAGGGGGAATTAAATTTGCTTTAAGAGATTTCAGCTCTTTCCTGCTCCCCTCTTTTCCCCAGTGGTTTGCTCCAATTTCTCAGAACAGCATCCTTGTCACTAAACCTCAAGATTGGCCTGTTTCTGTCTCACAGATTATTAGGCCCTCTATACTTTTTACCCTTCCCTCTAGTTATCTAGCTAGTAATCTAGAGTGGTTTGATGGTGTCTTGCAGTAAAGCATCCTCACTCAGTTCCCTGTGCACGGCAATGGTTTGTTCCTATCTGCTGGGTATCAGCATCTTTCCCCTCCTTTCTCACAGGAATGATTAGATACTGCGTCATTGAGCATCAGGCATTTAGCCCCTCCCCCGGGGTCCACAGTGGTTTGATCCTACCTCATGGACTATTAGGTTCTTTCTGATTCCCCCTCCAGCGTCACCATTACTAATGGTATGGTCCTTAGCATCAGGTCCTTTTTGTCCCCCACTGGTCTTCTGAGCACATTTGACGCAGCTTCATTTCATTCCTGAAGCATCCTGAGCCCCTCAGTGCCTTGCTTCTGCGTAAACGCTGTAAACTGGACCAAATGGGTTGAAAATGGCCAGAAATTGATCTTGGTCACTTTAGATATTTTATGACAATTAAAAGAAATCATTTTCTGTCCATTTAAAATCCATTTGGGCCAGTTTAAGCTAATGGCGCAGGGCTGGAGCCTGAGATCCATAAGCCCAAGAAGATGGCTGAAGATGATGCTGACTCAAGCCACTCAAGGAGCCAGGTATTTATAGAAATTGAAAGTAATCTGAGGGAAAGAAGAGAGACCAGATAGACAGAAAAACACAGGAACTAGGGTTGATAGAGGGAAGGTTCAGAAGAGGTTAATACAACCTGAAGTGATTATTTTTCATATTTTTAAGGTTGAAAGGTCATTTCTAGGATGCAATACAGGGTTTGGGGCTCTAAATTCAGGCATCTGGAAGGCAGTCTGGGCGATGACGTCATCTGGCAGGCTGGAGCTGAAACTGGGTGGTTTGTGGTGCAGTGATGATGCCTGGCTCTGCAGGCCAGTTCCTAGGGCCGTTCTTTGTATGTGACTCACCCCAGTCTTTTTGATGGATAGTCCCACTCCATGAATGACAACCTTTTCACCCCTTTAACTGTGCTAGCCATTTAAATTAGGAGAGCGGAACAATGTTGAAGAAATAGCTAATTACAATAGATAAGACAAGGTATGAATGACTGAGTTGATTAGAATTGAGTTTGGGCTTTACTTCCTAATTATTTCTCAGCAAGGTACTTGGGGAAGTGGCAGCTAGAGAATAGGGCCCCATTTCTCATCCCCAGCGTGGGCTTCTCCACAGGGTTGTGGCTTTATATATAAACTGGACTGTATGGTCTAGGTATCTGTCGTATGTGTTCCTGTTGTTTGTGGGGACTGCAGTGGCAAAGATGGAGCCGAAACATGGAGGATGAAAACAATGCCATTTTCAGAGACTGCGGCATTTCTGACGCAGTGGGATGGACAGTGGGCATGCCCGATGATTCGATGACGATGACGAGTGATGTACTGCTGCAAGATGGAGGGTGGGGTTAAAGCTGGCTGGTGCAGCTGCGGGGGCGGGCGTGGTGCATGCTGTTCTATGGCTTTCTACCTGTAAGGAGAAAAACAAAGCTTTTCTAGAATGATCTAGAAACTTGGCTGCCTGGGAGGGAAGGAGGGAAGGTGATATTTGAAACAAAATTGGGAGAATTTGTTAGGATTCTGCGTGTTTAGACAGCTTCAGTTAGCCACTGCCCATTTCTCCAAAGGGAGGATGGCGGCCATTTTACTGAAGGCAGTTGAATGGCCTTTTCAAGATTAAGATGAAAAGAAATAGAAGGTTTAGAGTCATATAGCACAGGTTTTGAGTGTCATCTCTGTTATTTGCAAATTAACCTCTTAGAGAATTATGCTTATTTCTAAAATAAAGCTAATACCATCTTCCTTAAAAGTAGAAATCTTAGATGTTAATGTCTTTTGGGGTAAAGTAGCTGACATTCAACATTTTGTTTTATTAAACTGGATTGTGTGGCAGGGATTATTTTTGTGTACATATATGTATAGCTTAGCTTGATAAAGACAATTTCTTTCTAAGTTTTTAGCAACATTTTTCTATAAATGAAGCCACTGAACTATTTTGAGGATCAAAGAGAAAATTATTTTCTGGAGAATTTTATAAACTATAAAGCATACATGTAAATATTTGATGTTTCTATAATAATATGTTGATTATTACCCAAGCAGTACTAGAGAAACCCAGTATAAAATGTCTTCTGGTGTTACACACTCACAGATTTCTCAGATTCCAGATTCACTCCTTCTTCGACCCTCATCCTGGACCTGAGGTGACTGGAAGCCTTGAGATGAGGTACGCAGCATCGTGAGCCACAGGGACCCAAGATGGGAGAGGCAGGAGTGGTGGGGGGGATTGGAGATCATGTCAGAGATGCGGGTGTGAGCAGGATGGGGTATCACAATTTGCCCTGTAGTCATAGAAATATGGAAACTACCTGAGTTCAAGACCAGCCTTGGTCACCTCACCTGCATTCTATTACTGGCCCTGTAAAAATCAGGGTGAGGTAAAGGAAGGGCAATGATGTGGGCTGTGAATAATATGGTATAGTGTTGGCCACAATATCCCCATTGAGGAACTATGCTATGTAGTAAGAATTGGGAACCAGGAAATGTGGCCTTTTGATGACATTAATTAGATAACTGATCATTACAATGTAGGGCAGAGAAGAGCATGACAAAGATTTTTGTTGTGGTGCTCTTGTGAACAAGATGGAGGAACTGTGACTCAGCATTGCTCTTCTAGCTAGATTCTGAATATGTTTTTTTTAGGTAATCTTTTATTGAGTATTTACTAGGTATCAAACATGCTGATGCTTTACATATGTTGCTTATTTACTTCCCAGAACCCCCTATGCAGATGAAGAAACCGTTAACAAGGGGTGTCAGTTATTCTCTGTATTTTTCCTGGATCAGGAATTCTCATTAAGTGTGGAGGTTGAGGACCCATTCTCTTTGGGATTAGCAGCAGCAGACGGAGAAAGGCCTGTCTCCCTCTTCAGCTTTCTTCTCAGGAAGCCTGCCCCCCCCTGAGTCTCTAAGATGCTATATGAGCCACTGTGATGATGGAAATGAGTGGGTGCAAGGTCAAGTTAGGGAAAATGTTTAGCTTCACTGTAATAAAGCGGTCCTTGGTAGTAGGCTGCAGGACTCTACCTGACTCTGGCTTGGGGTCAGCATTTTAGTTCATGCCTTGGGTGGAGCTGTAGAATAGCACACTTACGAGGTGAGAAGACAGAATTGGAATGCAAGGGGGAAGTAATATGCTGGATGACAGAATTAGAAATCTATGAAGAATTTACTAGCCCACAAAGATAATCCAACAATAACAAAATAAATTTGATAAGAGCAACTGTGACATTTTGCGCTCATTTTATAAAATAGACAAAATTCTTTTAAGAAATTACAGTTCTGAAGAGTGAACCCATGTTTGAGGTGGAAATGGCAATGTAATCTCAGGTTATATTAATTATAGTATAGGCTCTAAAATTTCAGGAGTTGAGAATTTTATTCTGATCAGCATTTGTAGAACCGTATCTCAAGTACTGTGCTTGGTTATATTGTCTTTAAAAGGGGAATGAGACAAAATGGAGATTAAGAAAAGAAGCCTAGAATGTGAATAGGACATGATTGTTGTCCTCTGACATCTTTAGACTTGTCACGACTAAGAGGATTTTAGCTGTACAATCGGACCTCAAGAGGCAGATGAGAGTGATTAGGTGGGAGTAGCTATAGAGCTGCCTGGAGGTTCTCCGTGGGAAGGAATTTGCCCCTTGTGAAAGGAAGCAGAAACCACCTGATTTGTACTAGTAACTGAGCTGTGAGTCCCCAGATGTAGCCTTAGGTCTTTGAGAATTCTTTGGCAGGTGGATGATGGGGCAATGATCAGAATGGAAGGACACAGAAGGGGCCCTTGATAAAAACTAGCGAATCCAAAGCACAGTTGGCATTGGTTGGTCTGGCTCAGCAAAAAAAGTAAAATTTCATAATGATTAGGTAAATTATGTATTAGCCTTTTTGGATACATTGTACAGGTTGACCTTAGCATTGCTTTGTAGCCAAGGATGACCTTGAGCTTCTTGATCCTCCTACCCTTTCTCCTAAGTGCTGTGATTATAGGTGTGTGTCATCGACTTGAACTCCGGAGTTTTGCATGCTAAGCAAGCATTCTACCAGTTGAACAACATCCCTAGCTTTGTATGTCATCCCTGCCCCCTTTCTTCTTTTCACAGATGAGAAAACTGGGGTTCAGAAAAGTCCCATGACTTGTCCAAGGCCATGAAGCTAGTAAGTGACCCATGGGGAATGCATCAGAGTCTTGGGGTGGGGGGTACTGTATGTGCCTTGGGGTTTGCATTCTTACCTGACCATTTCTCCAGTTCAGTAACATGCTGATACTGCCAGAGGCGCATCAGGACTGTGTACAAGTACGTCATGTTGGGCTGGGTGCCTGGAGTTGATGAGAGTATTGTGAAGATATATGATCAGCCTGCAGCCCAGCAGGTCCTGGAGGATGAGGTTGGAACACAGCTGAGCTATTACACAGGCCAAATGGCATGAGCACTTATTCATAATGTCTGTACCTTCCCCAGAACATCGTCCGCTATAGATACTTGGAAGAACCTGTCTGTAAGAAGACATGGAGACTTTCCACTTAACGACCAAGAAAGTATGGTCTAGAGAGGGGCAGGAACCTCTCTCCAAGTTTTTCTACTTAATGATTTTGTCTCTGATGGTGCCAGAAATTATTTTTTAGTATAATCTAGAAAATTTAGGCTTCAAAGCACATTCATTTATGAGGCAATACCAAATCCCCTGTGAAACTGACAAGATAGGCCTGTAGGGTTGTGCTTTCACTTCTTCCTGACTATGATGCAAGTTAGTATCATGGAAATGTAAAGATACACACTCAGAGAGTCACTCAGACTGGGATTAATTCCCTTCCTGGAGCCCAGAGGGAAATCTGCTAAGAATTTTTTTCATGCAAATTTTTTGTTTATTTTTGAGATAATACTTTATTTTTTAATTTTTTAAATTACTTTAGTTTTAAATAGCTTGCTTCACATGTCAATCTCAGTTTGAGCCTCGGGTTCTTGAGAAAATTTGATTCTAGTCCTGTGAAGGTGGAGGTTAAGTGTGGATAGAGAGACCCTGGCGAGGACTAAAGCTCAGAGGAGTGCCCTCTTCTGGATAAACAGATTTGAGATTACTAGCCTAGGCGATGGATTACCTGGGCAAAAGGATCTCACCCACAAGACGGCTGTTGAACCACATTTTTTCCAGTTCTCTGAGCTTGATAGCTCTAGATATTAGCCTCTAGATTTTACATACTTGGTTATTCTGCATTTGTCTTGCACTCCAGCCTCCTTGTTAGCTCATTTGTCCTTTTGAGGACATATTGTATTTTGTTTTTTGTCACTCTTGATATATGGTACTCTAGAGCTAAACCCAGTACTCCTGAAATGGTATTAAGTAAAAGGAAAACCATCTCCTTCATTCTGGTGTATCCTAAGATTCATTAATACATTTTTGGTATTTTTGGCTCAACACTGCCTTCCATACACGTGTGTATATGTATTAGAGGTAAGTTCCCTAAGTGTTTCAGCAGGCACACCTGATAAACTATACTATCTTTCTGAGTCATTATATGCCAATTATTTGTGGCAGTGACACTATTAGCTTCACCTGGGAATCTTATTGTTTAAACCCAATTCTGAGCTAATCTGTGTCATTTATTGTATAAAAATGTTCAAGTAAAAGCAACCCTTTTTTGAGTCTGATTTTGTCATGTAGATCAGGCTTTCCTTGAACTTGCTATATAGCCCAGGGTGGCCTCTAACTTGTAATCCTCCTGTCTCAGCCTCCTGAGTTCTGGGATTACAGGTGTGTGACATCATACTTAGCTATAAATTTTGTTTTAGGACCCCTCTACATACAGTATATTTTTCCAGAATTGGTGATCAAACCAAAGTTCCCATGTCTTCTATGGAAGTGCTACCACGGTGCTCCACCCCTCTCTATTTTGGTTCTGAGAAAGGGTCTAATTAAATTACCTCATCTGTCCTGCAATGAACATAGCTTAGGCTGGTGTCAAACTTTTAGCCCTCTTGCCTCAGTCTTTGCAGTACCTAGAATTATAGTGTGTGTACCTACACTCAGTTTGCTTGTATACTATTAAATGTTTTGTGGAATTCTTGGACATTTTGTTTACGTATGCTAAGCCTATTGACATCTAGCATATTAGAACTGAAAACAATTCAAAAATCTACTAATTCAAAAACAGCTTCAATAAATTCAAAACAGTTCACAAACTAACTTTTCAATAGAAACATTATTTTCCAAATAAAATATCTATGAGTTGTGGTCTTTCATTTTTTGGTCCTTAGTGCCCTCCTCATTCAGTCTTTTGCCATATCACATAGAGGGTATTAGATCCCCTGGATTCTGAGCTACAGGGTGATGGGAATTGAACTTAAGTCTTCTGCAAGAGCAGCAAGTGCTCTTAATCTCTGAGCCATCTTTCTAGTCCTATCACGTAGTTTCTTAATATCAGGTAATTGTGACTCCATGAGTTCCTCTGGCAGAGTTTTGGGACCCTGCGAAATGTAAGATTTTCTAAATAAGTGATGCTGCCTGAGACATGGATGTGCTTTAGCACTTACAATTTTCTTATTAAAATAAACTTTTTTACACAAAAGGGCAAATACTGTTAGACTCTACTGCTATGGGTTACCTAGAATATAGAAATTCAAGAGACAGAATAGAGTAGTGGTTAATGCTGGTGAGGTAGGAGAGTATGGGGGTTCCTGTGTAATGAGTACACAGTTTCAGCTGAGAAAGTTCTGGAGATAAACAGCTGCAAACAGTGGGATTGTGGTAAAATGCCACTGAACTGTATAATTTAAAAAGATTAAATGATAAAAGTCATGTTCTATACAGTTTAACATGATTTTAAAATGCAGATTACAGATACACAGTCACCCATATTCTGATTCAATAGGTTCACAGAGTGGCACAGAATCAGCTATGGAAGCACTTGAGAGAATACAGATAACATTTGTGGCCTGGAGAGACAGCTACTAAGTGGCTTAAGATCCAGCACCTCCATGGAGTGATGAGGTAAGGCCATTCTCCCCTTCTTTTCCAGTTTCTAGAAACTGCTTACATATTCCAGAACTGACTTACATGTGTTTGGAGGAGCCTGGACCCAGGAATTGGAGTGACACAATGTTCATGATGGGGTCATTATGACTTGTGTTTGACACCTGTCCAAATGATTTCACATATCACACATGAAGCGAAGTTTGGAAAAATTTTAGAATAAAGTGTCTACATATATGTACACACACATGTATATATCAAAATGTAGGTGACTAAATTATTTCAGCTTTGGATAAACTAAATATGTGAAATAACAAAAGGATAGAGTTACATGCTTTTATAATTAAAATATAAAATTCTATAAAAGCAAGAATGACATTAAAATATAATTGGTCATCTGGGCACTCAGACGATAATAAGGTGCATTCTGTCCTTATATGAATTGCATATTAGCAAAATCAGCCTTTGCTGCAATTTAGTGATAAATCCAAGATCAGTTATAGTACTTGTGTGGTCATATTTGGATAAATGCAGTGCTGAACACCACAGACCAGAGCTCTAGCAAAGGTCCAACTATGGCTTTTGTTTCCAGTCGTAGGCTGTAAATAAATCTCCCTGCATGGTGTTTGGTGTGACAATCATCACATTTTTGATGATTTCACTGTTCAAAATGCTCCCCAAGCACTGTGCTCTCTAGTGCTTCTAAACTTAAGAAGGCTTGGAGATACCTTACAGATAAACATGTGCTTCGGCCATATGCGATAGTGCTGCTGGCTGTGATTTTGTTGTTAATAAATCAGATCTATATGCTGTGGGTCAGCATTCACTAGTACAAAGTTATCAAACTTATCAATTGTGAACAGCAGGAATCATGATTACTATCAAACATGCTGATTGCATAAACTACATGTCAATTTATGAGGGAAACAATGTGATCTTTAGAAAAAGCAAGCTATAGAAATACACAGGTTAGCTGGGATTGACATGTGAAGCAAGCTTGTTTCTAATTTAAACAATAAAAAAAGAAAAAAGAAATACACAGGTTAAAAGACTAGACAGGGACAAACAAATCATGCATGTTAACATTATTGAAAAACTCTTCCATTTTACTAATGATAAAAGAACTCAAGTTGGATAACAATGACAGGTCAGTGTTGTTCCCTATCATATTAGAAAAGATTTATGAACTGTGCTGGCCACAGTGCAATGATCTTATCATTCTTGTATACTACCAGTGGATTAAATCAGCACGACATCATTGGAAGTGGCTCAGTAATCTCTACAAAAACTTGTATAAATTTTAGTACCTCATGACTGAGAAATTGAACTTCAAAGTATATCTTCTGAGAAATAGATGTTCAGCTAAAGATTTATACACATTTAGTATAATGTTATCTGTAAATACAAAAATAGAAAAAATAGAGGAGCCTTCGAAGAGGGGGAACAGATATACTATAGATCAAAACAAGATGAAAGACTTAACAAAATCATTAATTTATTTTCAAAGAACAGTTGATGACAAGAAAAACATTTTAACTTCATTGAAATAAAGCAGATATCATATAAGTTAAAAATTAAGTTACACTTACATCATATACACTGAACTAGGTCAAGTTGGAAATAAATCAGTTTCAGGGTGAAGCACACTTTAATTTAGTACATATGAGTTGAGGGAACTTCCTAACCTGCTCCTCAGTAGCCACCCACCTCGTTTAGTTGGACAGGCCTTAGGAGGCGGGATAATGAGTTGCAATGGATAATGGAGTCAGACAAGAAAGGACAGACTAACCTTTGGCAATGCACAGAAAGGAACAATTTCATTCAGACTTCTGTGAAAACATATGAACTGGCACAGTTTTTGGAAGGCTTCAAGAAGATGACTTTGGAGATGAGTCATAAAGGATAAGTAGAATTTTAGGGTTGAAATGCAGGGTAAGTATTGACCTTTTCAGCCACTAAGTGACAGTGATGCCACACTAGACCCTCCTCTAGGGTTCAGGTAAGTTGTCATATTCTAATATTCTGATCTTGATTTCATCAGAAAAACAGACATAAATATTTTGAGAATTGTGCACCATTTGATGAGCCACATATATATGTAATGTGGAGGATGGAGGAAGGGTGGTGGGAAGGAGACATCAGAAGGAGGATGAGAAAGAAACAAATATTTGTTGAGTGCTAATGAGCTCTTCCAGTACTTAGGCCATTTGATTTTACCTAAGGTACTTGAATCCATTAAGTAGGCATCCATTCTGAATTCCTATTTTGCCTGTGAGAATCAACAAGGACCTGAAAGATAGAGATAGAGTTGCAAATGGATAGTGGTTAGAAGTACCTGCACTTGGAAATGTTTTTCAGACTAGCTACAGTGGAGGTGCAGGGATTATTAATTAGCCTAACTATAACTCAAAGATAACTAAGGAGAAAATGAGTTCATAGAACTGCACCAAAGTTACAAGAAACAGGGGCTATGGCTATACCCTGCAAACTGCAGACCATGGTACCAATAGGAGGGGTTTAGAAATTTGAACGGAAAAGGCTATTAAGAGAGGTAGCAAATTAAGAAGAGGATATTGAATGAAATGGCATTCCCTACTTTGACACTTCTACACAAACCACTTCCCTCTGCTTAGGGTGTCTTGGGGCATATTCTAAGTCAGAGACTAGAATACAGCTATGCCAGTATTTGTAAATGTATCTAGGACACAGAAGAAACAGTGATCACACCCAGAGAGGAGAATCTGGTAGGACTGGGGAGAACACTTATTCCATTTTGTACCTCTTGATCTTACATTATACATGTTGCCTCCTTCCAAGGATAAAACTGTGAAATTCATACATGCACATGCACATACACACACACACACACACACAGAGAGAGAGAGAGAGAGAGAGAGAGACAGAGAGACAGAGAGACAGAGAGAGAGACAGAGAGAGAGAGAGAGATCTTCATGTTTAGCCAGAACAGTTCAGTCTGCTTAACTGTAATCATAAAGTGTCCCCTTCTTGTTCATGAAGCCTCTCCCTGTTCATTAAAACCGAATTCTATTCTTTTTGATTTTTGTTCAAATTCTGTTCTTATCGACTACTTGGCATAGGATCCAGTTGACAGAATGAAGCAGAGCTACCAAAGGTAGCCTCTGAGTGGGAAGGGGACGTACATTACGTAGAGTGGGACCCTGAATTCAGCAACACTTCTAGTATTGGTAGAAGACCAAGTAACTTCTTCACTGGTTTGAAGGTGGAGGACAAAAACCTGGAAACAAAGATTTGTTGAGAGAAGCTGAAGAAAAGGGCCAGGGCAAGGTCATGCAGAAACTTAGCTGTGTAGAGGTGGAGTTGCGAGTGAATGTGTTGCCCTAGATCTGCTCAGAACTGGTTCAGAAAGATTGGAAAGCCCACTGTCAACTACCAGGCCCCATAACAAACGTACCCATGGCCATTTACATTTGCAGTTCACCTTTTGGTACCTCCTGGGTTTTATCAGGCTTATTTGACAAAATTTGAATGCCTGTTTCAAGAAAGGCCCAGTACAGTGGTCACAGGCACTCACAAAAGAGAGGTTTCTGTGAGAATCAATGGTTTTGTGATGGGTTAGGGCCCAACTACTGTGGATTCTAACAGAGCCGATATAGTGCTTGGTTCCTAGTAGGTGCTCAGTAAGTGTTTGTGACATAATTCGTTTATTGAGCACCTCCTATCAATCAAGCACTGTGCTAGGCTCTGGGGCCACATAGCCAAGTTAAGTAAGAGGCTCCCTCTTGAGGTCCTTACGTCTAGTAGGCTACAGTAAAATTATTCATTTTAATAGCAGTTCTGATAGGGATAGGAGAATTTTCCCAGGAAATGGAAGCAGGCTGTGTTGTGGGAAGGGAGAGTGACTATACACTATTTGTTCCAAAACCTTAGGAAGAAAAGGAGAGAGAGGAGGCAGCAAACGGAGGGGTAAGACTGAGAGACTTTTCCTTATGAATGAGAGGTTTGAGAATAGTATTCCCATTAGAGAGGACAGGGATAAAGATTCAGGAGTTAAGGCAGTGACCAATGGAAAGACATGAGGCTGTAGAGGCAAATACAGTGGAAAATGACCAGGAACTCTTCCGAAGCAGGAGAGTGTGGATTTATAGGCGATACCAGGGGATGATGGAGAAGGTTAAGAGTATGTAAAGGGAAGTGACTGAAATAATGGATTGCAGATCCCAGGCCAGTCAGAGAAGGTAATTATGCTGAGTGAGTCTGGTAAATTGGGAGAAATCAAGAGGTCTAAGAATGCAAGTGATAGAAACAAAGAAAAGTTCTTAGTGTAACAGAAGCAACCACAGAGTATGATATATGAATAGAAGATGACACAGGTGGGGCAGTTTTGGGTGACAAAAAGATGCTGGGTGGGACTGAGGATGTATATAAATGATATAGGTGTAGGAAGAGGTTATGGTAGTTGAATCAAGGATGTTTAACACCCTCTGATCATACAAAGGCTTTCACCAAGAGTTTAGGAACAATTAATATGTGGGAGAAAGTTAGCAGATGCCAGTGACAAAACTTTTTGGTGGGAGAATGTAAATGTCTTAGTTGCCCTTTGCCTGGAAAGGGAGGTGAGCAAACATGGGTGATGCATCTGTGAGCCTGGCTTCTCCTTCTCACAGGATTCTTAATGGGAATGAGATGGAAGACTTCAGCTACAATGGGAATGAACCAGTGTCTATGAAATACAGCCTATCCCAGCAGTCCTAGCTGCCCAAAGGCCTACCTAAGGATAAGGCAATGCATTGTCTGTGGCCAGTTAGTAACATGCAACTCTGCAGAAGCATTGAGAAGTGTAGGAATGAAGACAAACTGAGTCACACAAAGGAATGGAAGCACTGCTCTCTACATTAATTCCCAGAGAGTGTAGTGTATGCTGGCCTGCTCATATCTTTCCATGGTCTGTACAAGAACAGCAGTGAGGAATGACACGTGAGGCAGCTTGTTTCAGCATTGCTGTGAGAGGAATGATGGGCAGAGAGGTCAAGCTTTCC